TTCCTTTAAAAAATAAATAATTGGTGGTCATTGTGGGGTATTTACAATGCAGTCACTCCAACAATGCGTGTTTGCTAGATAGACACATGATTGGAGTTGAAGCTCAGAGTTTTCCTGTAAGTTTGCTAGAGAGAATACTGAGATAGACTCCCACTGTGTATATCTAACAAATATATCCTCTCATAGCATCTATAAAAAGGTAAAGGGACCCCTGACCATTAGGTCCAGTTGTGGCTGACTCTGGGGTTGCGGCGCTCATCTCGTTTTATTGGCTGAGGGAGCCGGCGTACAGCTTTCGGGTCACGTGGCCAGCAGGACTAAGCCGCTTCTGGCGAACCAGAGCAGCGCACGGAAACGCCGTTTACCTTCCCACCGGAGCAGTGCCTATTTATCTACTTGCACTTTGACGTGCTTTCGAACTGCTAGGTTGGCAGGAGCAGGGACCGAGCAACAGGAGCTCACTCCGTCACGGGGATTCGAACCGCCGACCTTCTGATCGGCAAGTCCTGGGCTCTGTGGTTTAACCCACAGCGCCACCCGCGTCCCCCATAGCATCTATACACATCCCAATAATAGAGTGCACAAGGAAGAGGAAATATAATCTCATCCACTGTGTCATATGTATTGGGTTGCAGGTTCCTATCCTATTAATTGGAATTAATAGCCCTAAGTCATGTCCATTAATATCAATGAGTATACAGTGGTACCTTGGTTCTCAAACTTAATCCGTTCCGGGAGTCAATTTGACTCCCGAAACAGTTCGAAAACCTAGTTGCGGCTTCTGATTGGCTGCAGGAGCTTCCTGCAGTCAATCGGAAGCCGCGTCGGACGTTCAGCTTCCGAAAAACGTTCGCAAACCAGAACACTTCCGGGTTTGTGGCGTTTGGGATCCGATTTGTTTGCGAGTCAAGCCTTTCGAGTACCAAGGTACCAATGTACTCTGTGATTAATGTTGGGTACAACCCAGTTTCACATACAGTGGTACCTCAGGTTAAGTACTTAATTCGTTCTGGTGGTCCGTTCTTAACCTGAAACTGTTCTTAACCTGAAGCACCACTTTAGCTAATGGGGCCTCCTGCTGCCGCCACGCCGCCGGAGCACGATTTCTGTTCTCATCCTGAAGCAAAGTTCTTAACCCAAGGTAATATTTCTGGGTTAGCGGAGTCTGTAACCTGAAGCGTATGTAACCTGAAGCATATGTAACCCGAGGTACCACTGTATTTGGCACTTTTAGAGAGTGAGGCTACATCCAGACATTTAACTCTGGAAACTGTACTTGACCCGTCACATGACTACAATTCCCAGCGCCCTTAACAAACTCCAGTTCCCAGGTTTCTGTTGGGGGTGGAGCAATGTGCTTTAAAAATATGGTACGTGCACAGCCTATGGCTGCAGTCCTAACTCCACTCACCTGGGATTCAGACCTATGGAATCCACTAAGTCTTTGCCTGAAAAATAAGGCAAAGACTCACTTATCTTTTCTTTATCTTGTAACATTTAAAACTCTTAAACCTTCCTCCTTCGCCACCCCTTAAACCTGGGCAGATGGAGTGCAGCTGACATTCCCTTGGTGCTGAGTAGCACAGTGCCACAAAAGACTGTTTAGTGTCATCAGCCAGCCTTGCAAACAAATCCGTACATGTTACTAGTCCACAAGAAAATGTTGTTTACAGCACTTAGAAGGCTAACAAAGTTTCCTGCTTGGCAGGGGGTTGGACTCGATGGCCCTTGTGGTCTCTTCCAACTCTATGATTCTATGATTCTATGATTCTACTGTGGCATAAACTTCCCCTTCATCGGATGAATGGCATGCAAAATAGTGGGGGATTGTAAGCAGTGTCGTCAGAAATGCAAAGGTACAACAACTGACCGCTCAATTACAATAGCCTTCTGTCAGTTGGTTTTTTTTTGGGGGGGGGCGTACTACAACTCCCATCAGCCCCAGGGTAACATGGGATCTGTAGTCCCATACAAAAGCTGGAGAGCACCCTGTTGGTCAAGGCTGAATTGTTTATTATTAAATCTGTATACTGCCCTTCATCCAAAGAGCACAACATAAAATATAGCAAGAACGAATGCAGCAACAACAGGTGATTTGGTAATTCTAAGCTAATTAACCTCCATAGTGGGTCAAGGAACAGTTGCTGGTCCTCCCCCGAGTAGACCCACTGAATGGACATTATTAACTGAGGGCAGTGGTTCTCAAATGGTTTTCTCTGGGCCACACATTCAGAATAAAAATTTGCTTGCACTGATTTGCCACACTGATCTTTTTATAACATTGAATGCAACTACTTTATAATATGATCATGGGCTACACAGAAACCATAAAACATTGCAGCTACGTAAGATCAGGAAGCATTCCTAAAATATATAAACAAGCCTCTTAAGTATGTATACAAACTCAGCAAGAGTTACGAGCCAGCTTTTGCCAGGTAATCTAATTTATATTAGGTCTAATCTGAGATAAACTCTCATCTCCTCATCAACACAAATAAGCCTTTCTCTTTTCTGATCTTTCATATTTGTCAAGAGTTGAAAAGCCCTCTTCGCAACAGTATGCCGTGGAGAACTGTGGAAGAATAGCCAATGATCTTGAAGAGAGGCATGGATACTGTTTCTGGTTGTATATATCCAAAAATAAAAATAAAAATTATTTTGATACTCTGCTATACTAGGTAAAGGTAAAGCACTGAAATGTTTAAATGTAACCTTGATTGTCTTTGGAGCTTCCTACTGCACCCTTTGAGAACCACGGACTGAGGCCCATGAATTTCAGTGGATCTACTCGTGAGTAGTACCTAGTTAGGTACAGCCCATTGTCTCCATGCAGACCCAGATGAATAGAACTTCATCCAGCAGTTTCAGCTTGGGAAGGAAGCCCATTGCCCTAGAAATCTTCCCTTTCCTCATGTGTAACCACCTTCATACCCTCCAACATTTCTCCGGGGGAAACAGGCACGTCCCATTCCATAAGGATAATTTTACCATTTATACCCCACACATCTGATTGGCTTGCCTCAGCTACTCTGGGCAGCTTCCAACATATATAAAAACATAATAAAACATGGAACATTAAAAAACCTTCCCCATACAGGATTGCCTTCAGACAGCTCAGGGGTTAGATAACTCCATACCCTCCCAACATTTCTCCAATGAAAATAGGGACGTCCTAAGGAAAAGCGGGACATTCTGGGATCAAATCAGAAACCGGGAGGGCTTCTCTAAATTGGGGACATCCCTGGAATATACCTTCAGATGAGGAGAGGAGCATTTTGGTACAAAACAGGGGACACAACAGGATTTTGCTGCTGTTGCTTGAAATTATACCCACTAACGCACCAAATCCAATCAAAGCACACTTACAGTTGAGGAGAAATGTTGGAGGGTATGAAGGTAGTTATGTATATAATTTGTATACCACCCTTCACCCGAAGATCGCAGAGCGGTTCACATCATAAAAATACAAAATGGAAGCACTAAAATACATCATAAAGCAAAAGCAAAACTAGCCAGTAATACAGGGGGGGGGCGCACTTGGACTACTGCAATTCGCTCTACGTGGGGCTACCTTTGAAGGTGACCCGGAAACTACAACTAATCCAGAATGCGGCAGCTAGACTGGTGACTGGGAGCGGCTGCCGAGACCACATAACACCGGTCTTGAAAGACCTGCATTGGCTCCCAGTACGTTTCTGAGCACAATTCAAAGTGTTGGTGCTGACCTTTAAAGCCCTAAACGGCCTCGGTCCTGTATACCTGAATGAGCGTCTCCACCCCCATCGTTCTGCCCGGATGCTGAGGTCCAGCTCCGAGGGCCTTCTGCCGGTTCCCTCGCTGCGAGAAGCCAAGTTACAGGGAACCAGGCAAAGGGCCTTCTTGGTGGTGGCACCCGCCCTGTGGAACGCCCTCCCACCAGATGTCAAAAAGAACAACAACTACCAGACTTTTAGAAGACATCTGAAGGCAGTCCTGTTTAGTGAAGCTTTTAATGTTTGATGTATTACAGTATTTTAATATTAAGTTGGAAGCCGCCCCAAGTGGCTGGGGAAGCCCAGCCAGATGGGTGGGATATAAATAAATTATTTAATAATAAATAAATAAGCAGCTATCTTATTTTTAAAAGACATCTGAAGGCTGCCCTGTTTAGGGAAGTTTTTAATATTTAATGCTGTATTGTTTTTAACACTTGATTGGAAGCCGCCCAGAGTGGCTGGGGAAACTCAGCCAGACAGGCGAGGTATAAATAATAAATTATTATTATTATTATTATTATTTTATTCATCCATCCATCCTGTGGAATTCAGCAGCAAGGCCTTATAACCGAGGCAAATCCATCTGCACATGCTCAGGGGCATTTTGACCTTGGAGTGTGAGTTTGGGTGCGAGATCTCTGCACGTGCTCAGAGACAACCGGCCCAGGCCTGCTGGTTGGCTTGCATTTAAAAAGAACCCGCGCAGAGAGAGCAGGCGGGCAGCCTCGGATGCAAATCTCAGCGGCTCCCGCGTCCGCAACCCTGCAAAGCGCACCTTCCGAAGACAGGTGGCGGCGGGAGGGAATTCCCTCCGCAGGCCACGCCCCCTGCTCCTTCGAAGGCAAATAAGATCGGGCGCCGCCGATGCGCCAGGCTCTGATTGGTCGGCGAGTTGGACTTTGATCTCCACGTGCGTCTGGCGAGTTGCCATAGTGACGGAACGTAACGAGGCGCTTTAACAGGCTGGATACAGAGGCGGCCTTCTGATTGGCCGAGGACTGGGCCGTGCGTGGGAGGAGTGGGAGGAGGAGGAGGAGGAGGAGGAAAGGGAATGGGCGGGCGCTCGGTTGCTATGAGAGCCGTCAGCCAATGTAGTGAGGCGAGCCTTCGACGTGGTGGGCGGGGACATGTCCGTGCGTGGCCGAGTCACAACGGAGGTGGTGGGGGGCGGGGATAATATTCTCCTGCTCCAATGGGCGGAGCTTACCGGCTGGGCGGCTCAGCCAATGAAAAGCGCCGCCTCTGGTTCTGGGCCCGGCCAACGGGCGCGAAGCGGAACAGCTCGCCGGGCTTCGGATCTGCGCGTGCGCGAGGTGACAGGTTGGCTCCAGCGGAGGCATGGAGGGAGACGCGGCCCGCGGGTAAGAGGTTCGGGGGCGGAAAGAGGTTCGGGGGCCCACGAGGAGGCAGTTGGGGAAGGAAAGATGGACTTTAACAGGGAGAAATGTAAAGTATTGCACTTGGGCAAAAAAAATGAGGGGCACAAATACAAGATGGGGGACACCTGGCTTGAGAGCAGTACATGTGAAAAGGATCTAGGAGTCTTGGTTGACCACAAACTTGACATGAGCCAACAGTGTGACACGGCAGCTAAAAAAGCCAATGCAATTCTGGGCTGCATCAATAGGAGTATAGCATCTAGATCAAGGGAAGTAATAGTGCCACTGTATTCTGCTCTGGTCAGACCTCACCTGGAGTACTGTGTCCAGTTCTGGGCACCACAGTTCAAGAAGGACACTGACAAACTGGAACGTGTCCAGAGGAGGGCAACCAAAATGGTCAAAGGCCTGGAAACGATGCCTTATGAGGAACGGCTAAGGGAGCTGGGCATGTTTAGCCTGGAGAAGAGGAGGTTAAGGGGTGATATGATAGCCATGTTCAAATATATAAAAGGATGTCACATAGAGGAGGGAGAAAGGTTGTTTTCTGCTGCTCCAGAGAAGCGGACACGGATCAATGGATCCAAACTACAAGAAAGAAGATTCCACCTAAACATTAGGAAGAACTTCCTGACAGTAAGAGCTGTTCGACAGTGGAATTTGCTGCCAAGGAGTGTGGTGGAGTCTCCTCCTTTGGAGGTCTTTAAGCAGAGGCTTGACAACCATATGTCAGGAGTGCTCTGATGGTGTTTCCTGCTTGGCAGGGGGTTGGACTCGATGGCCCTTGTGGTCTATTCTAACTCTATGATTCTATGAAAGAAGCTCAGGGGTTTGTGGGGGACACGTGAGGGAGAAGGGAAAGGGCTTCGGGGTGGGGGAGGGGAAAACAGGTTCGGGGGCACACCCAGAGGGAGCGGGGGGACAGAAGAATTGGGGCAACCGCAGAGGCGGCTGAGGTAGGAAAGGGTTTGGGGGAGAGGAAAGAGGGATAGCTCCGTCGATAGAGCAGGAGTTTCTTAATTTTCAGGGTCATGGGTTCGAGTCCCAAGTTGGGCAAAAGAATCTTGCATTGCAGGGTTCTAGACCAGGTGCGCAGCCTGGGAGTCATTTTGGACTCACAGCTGTCCATGGAGGCGCAGGTCAATTCTGTGTCCAGGGCGGCTGTCTACCAGCTCCATCTGGTACGCAGGCTGAGACCCTACCTGCCCTCAGACTGCCTGGCCAGAGTGGTACATGCTCTGGTTATCTTCTGCTTGGACTACTGCAATGCGATCTACGTGGGGCTACCTTTGAAGGTGACTCGGAAACTACAACTAATCCAGAATGCGGCAGCTAGACTGGTGACTGGGAGCGGCCGCCAAGACCACATAACACCGGTCTTGAAAGACCTACATTGGCTCCCAGTACGTTTCTGAGCACAATTCAAAGTGTCGGTGCTGACCTTTAAAGCCCTAAACGGCCTTGGTCCAGTATACCTGAAGGAGTGTCTCCACCCCCATCGTTCTGCCCGGACACTGAGGTCCAGCGCCGAGGGCCTTCTGGCGGTTCCCTCATTGCGAGAAACAAAGGGAACCAGGCAGAGGGCCTTCTCAGTAGTGGCGCCCTCCCTGTGGAACGCCCTCCCATCAGATGTCAAAGCGATAAATAACTACCTGACATTCAGAAGACATCTTAAGGCAGCCCTGTTCAGGGAAGTTTTTAATCTGTGATATTTTACTGTATCTTTGGTTTTTATGGAAGCCGCCCAGAGTGGCTGGGGAAACCCAGCCAGATGGGCGGGGTACAAATAATAAATTATTATTATTATTATTATTATTATTATTATTATTATTATTCAGGTAGGTAGCCGTGTTGGTCTGACGCAGTCGGTCGATATATATATATAATAAATTGTCCAGTAGCACCTTAGAGACCAGCTAAGTTTGTTCTTGGACAGTTTGTTCTTGGACAGAGGGCCTTCTCGATGGTGGCGCCCACCCTGTGGAACACCCTCCCTTCAGATGTGAAGGAAATAAGTAGCTATCTTCTCTTTAAAAGACATCTGAAGGCAGCCCTGTTCAGGGAAGTTTTTAATATTTAACGCTGTACTGTTTTTAACATTTGATTGGGAGCCGCCCAGAGTGGCTGGGGAAATAAAATTATTATTATTATTATTATTATTATTATTATTATTATTATTATTATTTATTATCTGAAGAAGTGTGCATGCACACAAAAGCTTATACCAAGAACAAAGTTGGTCTCTAAGGTGCTACTGGACAATTTTTTAATTTTATTTTTTATACATCGCATTGTAGAGGGTTGGACTAGATGACCCCTAGGATCCCTCTCTCAACCCTACAATTCTGTGCTTCTAGGTTTGAGGACACACCCTGAGAGTGAGAGAGAGGTCTCCAGCTCTCTTTATTGGCCCCCCTGGAGCTCTCCCCCTCCTCAGCCACACCCCCTCACCAGCTTTGCCCCACATCCCACCTCTGAAAGAGTCCCAACTTTTTGCCTCCAGGCCCACCAATCATTGGCCAGGCCGGTGCTTGGGGTGGCAGCTGAGGGAAGGAGGCGAGGGAGGGGTGAACAGCGACTGCTTTACAGCAAAAGAAGAAAGGTCCCTGCCTCAAGGAGCTTGCAGCCAGAATTTGGCACTGGGAGAGAGCAGAGGGAGGGAAAAGGTAATGCTCTCTGCATGTCAGCCTGTGAAGCTCTGTGAACCCGGTTTGCCTGTTTCTGTGTGGTCAGCTGCTGAAGCCATTCAGGAATACAAGGAGCAAAGCTCCCTGTGAGCCTGTTTTCCGGAACCTGAAGCTGGTTTTAGTGTCTACGCACCAAATGTAAGAAGTCAAAACAGTGTCATCTTCCTTCCTTCCTTTTCTCCACCTCTCTCTCCCTTCCCTACCTATTTCTGTTACCGGTTAAGGACAGTAGTTGTGTTAGGGGTGTGTTGACCTGAGGGCTGCCTTCTTTGACGGGCAGCCTTCCACGGACTGTGTGCCAGTCTTGGGCAGGGCAGGAGGCAAAGGCTGTGCAGGTGGATGGGTGCGGCTCTCACCTTTACCCAGGTGACTACATTCCAGACACACCCAAACATACCTGTCTGTTTGCTATCCAGGCAAGTTATCGGAATTCAGAGACCCATTCCAACCAAGGAAAAAGCAGTCAAGGAGGATATGGAGCAGGTCTTGTGGTGGGGAGGGCAGCCTGAGGGCCGGTTAGAGAGCCCTGGAGGGCCACATTGCACCTGCAAGCCACTGGGTCCCTATCCCAGCACCAAGAAGTTGCAACATTAGCATATTGCCATGTTCAAATACTGCTCAAATCGGCAGTAGATGGTTAGCAGCCGGACACACTGACGTTTCCTCCAACACAATCGCCCCCCACGTAATGTGTCCATCATTTAATTTCCAAAGTGGGAAGGTTTGGGCGCTCAGTCCTGCTGGGATTTGCACTCTTTGTTCTGGAAAACCTGTGTTTGACCCCTTCCGATGTGCGGAAATGGTGTATTACTCAGGTGCAGCTGTGAGAGGATCAGGGAGAGGAACATGGTGGCGCTGGTGGTTGGGTCTCTTCGAATTAAGAGGCCTTTTAGGAACATATACAGATTCGGGCCGTTGGGTCACTTGTATACTGCCATTCTGCCAATGCAGAAATTGCAGCTTGACGTAGCAGCTTGCAGCAACCTTCCCTGACCTGGTGCCATTTATCGTGCAAAACACTTGGTGAAGGCTGGTTTAGAGGAAGGGTGGGTTCAGTACTAGGGGCTGCTACCTCTGTGCACATTGCTTGCCAATCCTGCCAAGCCCCGCCCCCTGACAGCACCCTCAAGCCCCGCCCCCATATCCTCACAGCTCCTCTGTGTCCTTCTATCCCTGCTTTCTTCAACTCTATGCTGCTGTTTAAAACCACCCTTTTACAACCTGCCTTCTTTCTTTCCCCGTCCCCTCACATGTCCCCTCCCATGGCTTCGTGCAAATCCAGGGTTGTGACGTGGCACTACCTATTCTCCAATGGGAGCTGCATGATGACAGCCTTACATTTTACTTATACAGTATAGGAAGAAGGTGGGAGACCAATCGTGTAAATAAAATCTCCTTTCTTCCCTTCTTTCCTTTTTCCTTTCTCCTTCTGTATGGAACTCCTGTTTGGGGACTTCCCTGGCTTTTTTTCTGGCCCACGTAGGACCAGTCTGGATAGTTGGCCTTGGTGAAGACTTGACGTTTTCATCCCCAAAAAGGTTTCGGATTTGAGTTCCTACTGAAATGAGGCTGCATTTTAATGTTGTATTTTAATCTTGTTTTTAAGTTGTATTTCAATCTATTGTTTTTATACCTGGTGTTAGCCACCCGGAGCCCAGTCTTGGCTGGGGTGGGCGGGGTATAAATAAAATTTATTATTATTATTATTACTGTTATTTCTCTCTTGCTCCCAGGTGCCTGTCGATGGATGGCTTTGCACGGGTAGCTGAAGCCGGCGTCTCCAGCCCTGAGTTCACAGCTCTATGTTCATGGCTGGTTTCCGAGCTCCGCAGCCTTTGCCCGCTCGAAGAGGACGTGAATCCCACTCGTGGTAGGTAACCTGGCTTTGTGGGGAGAGATGAATGCAGCAAACATTTTCTTGGGCAAGAGCTAAAGGAAGCAAGGGGGTGAAGGGTGTGTGAGTCAGCCTAGGGCCCCACAAGGAATCCCCCACCCCACCGGGCTGATAACATCTGATAAGCAAATGTAACGTAGCCAGCGTCTGTGGGGTTTCATTAGCTGGCTTCTGGGTGGTTAACCCATGGAACTGCTTGCTGCTGTTGCTCCAGCCCATCACTTGGATAAAAAGCGTCAAGATCATCAAGGGAGCTTCTAGCATACTGGAACTGGAGAGGGAGGTTGGAGGGGCAGAGAATGCCCCTGGAGGGATGGTCGTATTGGCTAGTACCAAGGACAAGCCTTTCATCTGGCTGGGTTGGGATGGTATGGGGATGAGGGACAAACTCCCTTCTCTTGCGGGGCCCAATTAGTGCCATTGCCTTCCGTTAAGAGTTTGGGTGTAATCCTTGACGCCTCCCTTTCCATGGAGGCGCAGGTTATAGCAACAGCCAAGGCGACATTTTTCCACCTTCGCCGCATCAAGCAGTTGGTCCCTTACCTTTCCCGCCCCAACCTGGCCATAGTGATCCATGCGACGGTCACCTCCAGGCTTGACTACTGTAATTTGCTCTACGCAGGGCTGCCCTTGAAGCTGTCCCAGAAACTCCAGCGGGTGCAGAATGCTGCAGCGAGGCTCCTCACAGAGTCTCTGCCATGGGAGCATATTCACCCAGTGCTTTTCCAGCTGCACTGGCTCCTGGTGGAGTATAGGGTCAGATTTAAGGTGCTGGTTTTGACCTTTAAAGCCCTTCACGGCCTAGGACCCTCGTACCTATGGGACTGCCTCTCCTGGTATGCCTCACGGAGAGCCTCAAGGTCCATAAATAGCAACACCCTAGAGTTCCCGGGCCCTAAGGAAGTTAGATTAGCCTCAACCAGAGCCAGGGCCTTTTCAACACTGGTGGAACGCTCTGTCTCATGGGACCAGGGCCCTGCGGGATCTGATTTCTTTCCGCGGGGCCTGTAAGACAGAGTTGTTCCGCCTGGCCTTTGGCTTGGAGCCAATTTGATTCCCTCCCCCTCTTTATTTTTTCCTTTCTCCTCCTGTGAAGAGGTTTCATCTTAATGTTTTAATGTTGTATTTTAATCTTGTTTTTAAAGTTGTATTTTAATCAACTTGTTTTTATTATTTGTTGTTAGCCGCCCTGAGCCCGGTCTTGGCTGGGGAGGGCGGGGTATAAATAAATTTATTATTATTATTATTATTATTATTATCCACTCCTCATTGAGCTGATGTTTTAGATGTCTATCCCCAAGTGGCATTGTGTCCTTTCAGGTCCTGAGGATGCTGAGACCTTCCAGATCGAAGTGAGCGGGCTCCTTGGGGAGCTGCATTGTCCCTACTCCTCGCTGACCTCGGGGGACGTCACAGCCAGGCTTAGCACCCCGGACAGGTGCCTCCAGCTCCTGTGTAAGTCCAGGCAGGAAGGGGCTTCTTCCTCGTCTCATTCTGTGCAGGTGGGCTCAGAAAACGCCTGGCTAAGAACTTCTGCTCCCATCCCTAGAAGGGGTCTGGGAATCAGTGAGTCGTGCGGGTGTGTATTAGCTCATTTTTATTTTTAAAAAAATCAGTGGGAGGTCCAAAGGGCAGGAACACAAGAATGAGCCTTTTCAGTGGTGGCTTCCGAGGCACTTCCGGCACCATTGTTACACATCTTCAGGCGTCGGAAAACATTCATTTTTAAACAGGCCTTTGGCTTTTAACAATGGCCTTTTAGAGTGGGTGGGATGTTTCCATGTTGGGTTTTTTTTATGTGTGGGGGTTTTTTTGTAAGTTGCTTTTGAGTTTCCATGGCAAAAAAGGGACTAATAAATTTAATAAATAATAATATTTTACTTACCGTATTTTTTGCTCTATAAGACTCACTTTTTCCCTCCTGAAAAGTAAGGTTTGCCTACCCATGATCTAAAAAACACGACACTCTCTTATTATTATTATTAAAAATTTTCTTGATTTACAAAAGTGTGTGCAATGTCTCTCTCTCTCGTGTGTTTTTTCCATGTAACATTTTTACAAATCAGTTTCATTTGTTGAAGGGAAGATATTTAAGGGAGAGAGACTGGAAGAAGAAAGGTTTATCTCACTGGGGAGAGCAGAGAGGATCCACCTGTTTCTGTGTGGGAAAAGCTATACATTTAAAGAGGACTCTGCATTTCCCTTTCTTTTGCTGTTTTTGTTTGTATTTAGATTACCGTATTTTTTGCTCTATAAGACTCACTTTTTCCCTCCTGAAAAGTAAGGGGAAATGTGTGTGCGTCTTACGGAGCAAATGCAGGCTGCGCAGCTATCCCAGAAGCCAGAACAGCAAGAGGGATTGCTGCTTTCACTGCGCAGAGATCCCTCTTGCTGTTCTGGCTTCTGAGATTCAGAATTTTTTTTCTTCTTGTTTTCCTTCTCCAAAAACTAGGTGCGTCTTGTGGTCTGGTGCGTCTTATAGAGCGTAAAATATGGTAATTATATTATAGTAAGTCCTGTAACGTAATATGACAGCGTTTACCGATGTAATATAAGAAGGTTAACAAATAAATAAAATGCAAATAAAAAATAAAATAAAAAATATATTTTTTACTTAATTAATTCACAACCCCCTTTTTTTTATTAAAAAAAATCGCCCTAGAAGTACTTAGGTCCCCAAGGTTTATGGGATATAAATTTAGGACGGGAACTGAATCCAGCTCTTTCTCCTTCCCTGGCAAGATTTTTTGAGCTCAGAGCTCCTGGCCGCCCGGCTGCTGGCTCGGAAGACGCCCCGTTCGCCGCCGGAAAAAGAAGACCGATCTGGCGAAGCGGTGAACGAGCTCCAACTCATCTGCCAAGCCCTGGGAATGGCGGACCTCGATCCAGGCTGCCCAGTCCATCAAGCCATGGCTGACATAGAAGCCAAGGTGGGGACGCATTGGGGGCAGGACGGGGCGGCTGTTTGACTTGCGCATGTGCCAAAGATATGGGAGGCGCTAAAGCTCCTGGTCTCTAATGCTCCCCGCAGCTTAATGCTAGCTTCTTGTTGAATGTAGGTTTTTCTAGGTTGGAAGCAGAGGGCCTGTTCAGGGCAGTTAGAAGAATAGAAGCTCCCCCCCCCACCGCTGCTTTGGCTGCACCCCAATATGCAAATTGTCTGTTTCTCTTCCCACCCCAAACAGCTAAACTTGTGATCTCCTCCTTAGATTTCGGAGGCGCTTTCTTCACTACCCCCTGAGCACCAGCAGATGGCGCCGCTCCTGAAGGCCACGCTGACCTCCGAGGAATGGGTAAGGGACAGGCCAGGGGCATTGGCAACGAACTCCCCACCGCATGGACGCTTGCTCCTTTGGTCGGGACGGGTTGTCCTTCTCCAAACACGTCCCTGGCCAAAGCAGGGTTGTTGAGGGTGGTTCCAGGGTGGGTGGAAGGACAGCTAACGGCTTACGTCTCCCGCTTCCTCTTGCCCCTCTCCCAAATGACAACACTAGGGAGCGCTGGAGGGCATACGGGACTTGCTGTGCACGGAGTATCAGTGCCGCCGACGCATGATGGCCACTCGTCTCGACGTCACCGTCGAGTCCTTCCATTGGTCCGAGAGGGCAAAGGTGAGTGAGCTGGACAAGAGGGGGGCATGTGCTTTTAAAGGGATGAATGTGTTGGTGTGTGGTTTTTAAGAATAGGGTAGACTTACTGGTGTTACAATTAGTACATAATAATAATAATAATAATAATAATAATAATAGGTAAAGGGACCCCTGACCATTAGGTCCAGTTGTGACCGACTCTGGGGTTGCGGTGCTCATCTCGCTTTACTGGCCGAGGGAGCCAGCATACAGCTTCCGGGTCCGTGGCCAGCATGACTAAGCCGCTTCTGGCGAACTAGAGCAGCGCATGGAAACACCGTTTACCTTCCCGCCGGAGCGGTACCTATTTATCTACTTGCACTTTGACGTGCTTTTGAACTGCTAGGTTGGCAGGAGCAGGGACCGAGCAACAGGAGCTCACCCCGTCGCGGGGATTCGAACCGCCAACCTTCTGATCGGCAAATCCTAGGCTCTGTGGTTTAACCCACAGCGCCACCCGCGTCCCTAATAATAATATTAGTAATATTTTATTTATATCCCACCCTCCCCAGCCAAAGCCGGGCTCAGAGCGGCTAACAACAGTAAAAATAGCAGAGTTTACATAAAATCACGGTCAATTAATTGAAATACATTCTAAAATCAGTTCAGAATCAAATTAATTTAATTCATGGCAACCATTGGGCTAGAGTTCTGTGAAGATTACAGAAGGAGAGAGGGGGTCAGGCTGTGCCTTGGCCAAAGGCCTGGTGGAACAGCTCTGTCTTGCAGGCCCTGTGGAAAGATGTCAAGTCCCGCAGGGCCCTAGTCTCTTGTGACAGAGCGTTCCACCAGATTGGGGCCACGGCCGAAAAAGCCCTGGCTCTGGCTGAGGTCAGCCTAACCTCCCTGTGGCCCAGGACCTCCAAGATGTTTTTATTTGAAGACCGTAATGTCCTCGGTGGGACATACCAGGAGAGGCGGTCCTGTAGGTACGAGGGTCCTAGGCTGTATAGGGCTTTAAAGGTTAAAACCAGCACCTTAAACCTGATCCTGTACTCCACTGGGAGCCAGTGCACCTGGTATAGCACCGGGTGAATGTGATCCCCAGAATCGTATGGTTCAGAGGGACAACCAAGGGTCTTCTAGTCTAACCCCTTGCAATGCAGGAATCTCAACTCGGGCATCCGTGATATATGGCCGTCCAATCCCAAGGGAGTCCGTTCCGCTGCTGGACAGCTTTCGCCATCAGAAAGTCCTTCCCATATGTTTAGTTTGGAATCTTCTTTCTTGTTACTTGCAAGCCATTGGTTCGAGAGCTGGGGTGGGGGAGTTTGCTCCATCTTCCAACCTAACAACTTAGGACCAGTTTATCTATGAGACTTCCTTTCTCCATTTACGCCCACTTGACGGCTTCAGTTGACGGAACTGGCCCTGATACAGGAGCCACATAATACCCCTTGATGTTTTAGCGTGGCAGCATATGCCCTTTGGAACTCTCTGCCAATTGACACCAGGCAGACGCTTTCACTGTACTCTTTTTTTCCGGCGCCTGCTAATAACCTTTTGGTTTGGATGAGCCTACCCAGACATTTAGAAAGCTGATGCGAGTTTTAATCTGTGTATAGTGTCTGTGGGTATTTCAATGTTTGAAAGCCTTAAATGATGCTGATGTTTCCTATTGACAATTCTACAGTTTTATCTTTTTGTGAACCGCTTTGAGCTGGTTGTTTCTTTGCAGCCAAGCAGTGTGTAAATTTTAATAAATGATAATTTATAAAAAAATTTATTATATTTTGTGCTTTTTAAGTCGTATTTGTTTTAATTTATGCTGTGGGCCAACCTGGGTCCTTCCTGGTGGGGGAAGGCAGGATATAAATAAAAGAAACAACATATAAATAATAGTTTTAATAATAGTTCAGCAGCATTGACCCGCCCTGAATAGAATTTGGGCAGCAGGTATTGAATGAAAAATGGGCTTCTTCCCTCAAATTTTGCCCCCCGCAACTTAGGACCGGAGCGGAGCTATGTCAGAGGCCTTCAAACCCTTGCGTCACTCTTTGATGGAAGAGTCCCAGGTCACCGTTCCTCACCTCCTGGCAGCGCGGGAGGACTTCTCCCGCATCGTGAAGACCAGCAGCGGAGCTTCGCGGGACAAGACAAGCTGTGCCGTCAACAAGGTACAGGGCTGGAGAGGGGTGCCGTTCCCCAGATGTTGGGATGGGGTACAGGAAAGCCCTATAGCAGGCCTGTGCAGTTGTGCACAGGTGCTCAGCAAGGCTGATTCCAGATGACTTGAATAAATGAACCAAACCACCCATTTCTCCCATCCAGGGGCTCTGGGCAATGGGGACCTGAGCTGTACCTGCGCTGCCTCCCCGTTTTTTATCCCTTAAGTGCGCTGGTTTGCAATTTCTCCATCCCAGAAATAAAATGCCTGAGCACCAGTCATTGATAGAGGAGGGAGGGAGGGGACAGGAAGTTCTATGTCACTTCCTGTTGAGATACAACAGGTGCCCACCCTCCTCACTGGCTAGAAACAATTGAAGGTATTTTTGTTCCAACAGCTTTTTGATAAATGGGTCTTTACCACAAGCATCAGCTGCTGCTGCTTCTTTTTTCTTTTCTTTTTCTGAAGTTTTATTCGAGTTCGGGATTTTTACATACATTATATTAAAAGGTAAAGGGACCCCTGACCATTAGGTCCAGTTGTGACCAGCTCTGCGGTTGCAGCGCTCATCTCGCTATATTGGCCGAGGGAGCCGGCATGTGGCCAGCATGACTAAACCACTTCTGGTGAACCAGAGCAGCGCACGGAAACACTGTTTACCTTCCCGCCGGAGCGGTACCTATTTATCTACTTGCACTTTGACGTGCTTTTGAACTGCTAGGTTGGCAGGAGCAGGGACCGAGCAATGGGAGCTCACCCCGTCGCAGGGATTCGAACCGCCAAACTTCTGATCAGCAAGTCCTAGGCTCTGTGGTTTAACCCACAGTGCCACCCGCGTCCCACCATACATTATATTATCTCCTTCCAATTTTAAATTTCCCATACAATTTTTTCCTTTCCCTCCCTCTCCTCACCCCCATATCCATTGGAAGGGTTCAAACTATTATCCTCAGCCACGGGCATAGCCTCTTTAGTTTCCACCAAATGTCTTTTGTTCCAGTAGTTTTTATGCATTGAAGATAGGGGTTCCATCTGTTCCTTATCGTGGTGGACTTGACCTTCCACGTTGTTTCCTGCAACAATGTCCGACTGAATAAGTTCAAACAAATAACTGTTCCATGCCTCTACTGTCCATTTTTCTGTCTTTCCAACCTAAAGCTATCGTTGCCTTTCCCGCTAATATCATAGCTTTGAATGTAAACTGGTCACCTTTCTCTATAGCCGTGTTCCCAAGTAAACCCATTGTCATGAAATCAAAGTCTATTGAAAGCTTCACTTTAAAAAATTCATTAATAACCTTTAGGATTTTATTCCAGAATTCCTTTACCACTGGGCATTCCCAGTACATATGGGGAAACCATCCCTTGGTTTGTTTACAGTGCCAACAGTTAGAATTCAATCCTGCTACCATATTAGCTAGCTGGGCCGGAGTTTTGTACCATTTTAGAAAGAATTTTAATTCCATCTCTCTAAATTTAATCTCATCTATTCCTTTCATTATCCTTTCAGCCGTTGATTCGCTAACTTGTTCTTCCTTACTCCACATCTTTTGAATAAGTTGCATTGTGTGTTCCTTATTTGTAATCATTCTCTTACAGATTTTACCTATCATTCCTTGTTTCTTATTTTCCATTTGTTTGTATAGTTCCTCTATTCAGTGGCGTAGCGTGGGGGGTGCCAGGGGTGCCGGCCGCACCGGGCGCAACATCTGGGGGGGCGCGAGTCCAGAGGGAAGGGACAAGTTCCTTCCTCCGCCGGGCTCCCCGCCTCCACCGCCAGCCTTGCGCCCTAGCGTGCGCGCCCCCCGCCGCTGCGGCTGCGCTCCACTCACTGCTCGCAGGAGGAGCAGCCGCTGCAGCAGCACCGACGCCGCCACCGACGCCTGGCCGGGCACGGGCAGCCTCCGCACCCCAACGCCGCCGCCATCCCCTCGGCCCAGCCACAGGCGGCGGCTGCTTCTGCCGACTGGGAGGGAGGAGAGCTCTGAGGGGCCTCGCCACGCCCTGCTCTCCCCAAAACCCTCCAAGAGGAAGCCGGCGGGCAGGCGAGGGTCTCCCGGCAGAAGGGGGCGCCGCTGGCTCCGGCTCTCAGCGCAAGTCTCAGCCGGGGGGGGGGCGAGGACGGAGCGCGGCTGGAAGCCCCCGGACCCGGCCGGGAGGAGGAGAGGCACTCGCCAAGCCCGGATCTGGAGCGCCTCGGAGCGCGGGCTCCACCTACAGCCCAAAAAGAGGAGGGGGCGGGGAGGCGCCCGAGGGGAGGGGGCTTCGGCTGCCTCGGCCCGTGGGGGCTCCGCAAATAATAAATTTAATAAATTCCTGCTGAGCCTTTGGGGGGGGTGTCCATGGCTCCTTCGCTCGCCCCCAGCCCCAGTGGCATAGCGTGGGGGGGTCAGGGGGGGCCGGCCGCAACATCTGAGGGGGGCGCTCGCACTCGAGTGCTAAAATCCACGGGTTAGGGGGCACAAATTACTTGCCTTGCCCCGGGTGCTGACAACCCACGCTACGCCACTGCCTCTATTGGCTCTTCTAAACTCAAGTTTCCTATCTCTTGGACTTTAGAGAGTTTGTTGTATAGTTCTCCAATTTTAAACCAATATAGGTTACCTATGTTCTCTATTGTCTCACCTTGCCGACAAAGGTCCGTATAGTTAAAGCCATGGTTTTCCCAGTAGTGATGCATGGAAGTGAGAGCTGGACCATCAAGAAGGCTGATCGCCGAAGAATGGATGCTTTTGAATTCTGGTGCTGGAGGAGAGTCCCATGGACTGCAGGAAGATCAAACCTCTCCATTCTTAAGGAAATCAGCCCTGAGTGCTCACTGGAAGGACAGGTCCTGAAGCTGAGGCTCCAAGACTTTGGCCACCTCATGAGAAGAGAAGACTCCCTGGAAAAGACCCTGATGTTGGGAAAGATGGAGGGCACAAGGAGAAGGGGATGACAGAGGACGAGATGGTGGGACAGTGTTCTCGAAGCTACCAGCATGAGCTTGACCAAACTGTGGGAGGCATTGGAAGACAGGAGTGCCTGGCGTGCTCTGGTCCAGGGGGTCACGAAGAGTCGGACACGACTAAATGACTAAACAACAACATGTTCTCTATTACTTCCTGCAATGACTTTAAGGACTCTCCTCTATACATATATTTAACTATATGATATCCCTTAGCGATTAGAAGCAACAGCTTCTTATTCCCCCCCCCCCCCCCCGGTTTAGAATGTACCTGTGTTTCTCTTATGCATAAACCGCCTTGCGCCGGTAGTTTAGAAGGCGATGAATAAATGGATGATGGCGATCATTAGGAACAGCACTTCCTGTTCACTCTCGTGTCCATTTCTTCCTCCCTCTCAGGTGCTGATGGTTGGTGACGTCCCGGATCGCGGTGGGCGTCCGAATGAGATCGAACCCCCTATGCCCACGTGGGAGAAGAGGCGAGAAGGAGGAGGCGGCCACCAGCGATGGGGCAAGCGGAGCAGGAAGAAGAAAAAATAGCAAGGGGCTGGATCCTGACCTCCTCCGGCGTGGGGTATGGTCAAAACCACCCTTCACTTTAGGGCAGGGAAGAGGCTTCAGGAAGTTCACCGCAGCAAGGATGCGCAGTGGATACAGCCCCAAAACCCAGCCTTCACCAAAGGTGGTTTCAGTGTTGCTTTTCCCTAGAATGCAAGGAAATGCAGTTTACAAGAAAGGTGCCCATTACCTTGAACCTGAGACAGTGGGCAGGGGCATGTGAGCTAACATCAGACATCTCTCCCACCCCCCTTCCCCACCCCCCTTTCACTTGCTTTAAAGTTGTTGGACACAGACGTTTGTGTTGTCCGCGTTATAGCTTGGTGCCGGATGAATTGCACCTTTCGAGCAGAGGTGGGGAGTCTGTGGTTCCTTCAGATGTCATTGGACTTCATCTCCCAGCACCCCCAGTTAGTGGGGCCAGTGATCGGGTGTGAAGGGAGTTGGGGGCCAATATTCCCCGTCCCTGATCTAGTTAATACACAACTTGCAAGGATGAAGGAACAAGATGTGCTGGATTTCTCAAGGTTTCTTTTTGGGCTTTAGATGCCGAATATGGTTAGAAGCAACCTTCCTTTTTGGGCTGGGTGGGCAGCATTTATGAGAAACCCAGCTTTAGAAATGTCCCATTAGATTTAATCGGACAATGTAGGAAGAGGGAAGATATTATTTTGGGATTTCTAAGCACAAACCCAAACTTCTTTGTACCTTTTCCTCCTCTGGATTATGCAGCGGTTCTCAACCTGTGGGTCCCCAGATGTTGTTGGACTACAACTCCCATCATCCCCGAGCTCTGGCCTTGCCAGCTAGGGATGATGGGAGTTGTAGTCCAACAACATCTGGGGACCCACAGGTTGAGAAAGGCTGATCTACAGGGCGGCTCAATTGCAACAGCCAATGAGTATGGGGTTTTGTTTGAATGGTGCAAGTTAATTTTTGTCCTTGTTCTGAAGGGATGGGATTGAAAATGGCCAGGCTGGGTTCAGTGTAACACTAAGAGATTAAACATTTTCCTTGTCATTCAAACTCATTGTGCGAGGGAGTATGTGTGTGTTTTAAAAACTCTAGTCGTCGTCTTCTACCTCTCTCTCTTTTATTATTGTGCCAGGAGGGTTAAGAGAGCAGAATACGTTAAAAGTCAGGGACAGTTTGCCATTTGAAGGACATTTTTAAATCTTTTTCTTTTAAGGGGAAATCACATTCCTTCCCCCAGCCCAAAAAGGGGGAGCGGTTACACAAAGCTTGTGGGGAGTATAGATGAATGTGATCTTTATGGGGAGAGAGTTAGATTTAAACAATATACCGTATTTTTCGCTCTATAGGACGCACTTTTTCCCCTCCAAAAATGAAGGGGAAATGTGTGTGCGTCCTATGGAGCGAATGCAAGGGGGAGGCAGGTAGGAAAAGCCCCCAAAAGCCACACACAAGCTCCGCGTGGCTCTTCCTCAGGAGGGAGAAGGGACTGACGTGGCCAGTCAGTCCCTTATCCCTCCTAGTAGAAAAGCCCGCAGGAGCCGCGCGCTCCTTAAAGGGTGTGTGGCTCCTGTGGGCTTTTGCGGGAGGTGGGGGTATTGACATAACCGCACGCAGCCTCTCCCTGCCGGAGAGGTGGTGCAGGGCTAAAGAAGCCATAGCCCCGGGCTTCCCCAGCAGCCTCGAGAAGCTCGCGGAGCAGCGGGAAGGCTTCGCGCCTTTCTGCTGCTCCCCAACCTGCTCTTTGGGGCTGGCGGGGGGCTTCCCCCCGCCAGCCCCAAAGAGCAGGTCGAAAGGAACCTGAAGCCTAGAGAGCGAGAGGGGTCAGTGCGCACCGACCCCTCTCGCTCTCCAGGCTTCCAAGGTAGCCGCCTGAAGGCGACTGAACGCACCTTCAACTGCCCCTTGTTTTAGAGGGGGAGAACAGGGGGAGGGGGAATTCTCCCCCTCTCTGGGCAGCGCCTTCCGCTTCGCTGAAGGGGCGCTGGGCAGAGAGGGGGAGAATTTTTTTTTCTTGTTCTCCCCCTCTAAAACAAGGTGCGTCGTATGGTCCGGTGCGTCCTATAGAGCGAAAAATACGGTAATTCCTGTATTCAGTATGACGCATTGCATCTGTTCCCAGCAACGAATGTATTCCACCCCACATCCCCCAAATGAACAGAGGGTTAGGGAAGTGAATAAAAGATTCAGGGGGGTTTTTTAAAGCAAGGCCGAAGGGGGTCAGTGGAAGAGGTCGCAGTCAGTAGGCGCTTCTGCCTCGCCCCTCATCCCCCTTTACCTGCCGCCGAACCCCCAGTTTCCACCTCCTGAGGATTCCTTTCTCTCAGTCTCTACTCTTGACATTGGAATCCCAACCAGAAGGTCACCCACTTCGCCCCAGGTAGCAAGGCAGGGTCCCTGTTTACGCACTCGGTCAGTGGTTAAATATAGCTTGCTGCAGAGAGCTATTGGCAAGCCACCACATGCACACAAGCCAAGGAGCTGCTTAGGTTCTTGAGCCATCCGGGACTGTTCAGCTAAGAAGAGCTCTGCTGAAGCAGTCCAGTGGCCCTCCTCGCCCAGCACCCTGCTCTCACTAAGTGCGCCAATGGGAAGCCCCCGCAGCAGGACCTGAGTGCAGCAGCACTCTCCCCATTTCCAATGCCCCAGCAGCTGGCCTTCCGCAGTCGGCTGCCTCTGACAGTGGAGGTGGAACAGGGCCGTTGTGGCTAATAGCAGCAGAACCCAAAACGTGCATCTGCAGCAGCACCAAAAAAGAAGTAAGCTATCTGGTGGAGCCTCCGTTCGAGAAATAGTCCTTTTATTAGGAACAAAGGAAGCCCCTTAGCTTGAGTCCGGCTGCTTGTCCATCCAGCTCCGTATTATTGGCAAGGAATGGCAGTGGCTTCAGGGCAGTAGCATCCATTTCAAGCCATGGACCAAACCTGAGGCCTTTGTATGCAGAGCATCCATATTCTCTACCATTGAGCGCGTGTCCCTTCTCTCTGTTCCTTTCCTTGAGAGGTTCCACTTTCCTTGAGAGCTCGCCGTTCCTGTGCCCTTGGCTCAGTTGGGCTTGGGAGGCAGGTGCGAGTTGTAGGCAGCCAAAGCCTTCCAGCAGGAGAAGGGGGGCAGGCTCGATGAATCTGCCTTCAGCAGCCAGCTGTTCTCAGCCTCCAGCTGCGAGTTGCAGCTCTGAAGGCTCTGGTTGACCAGCAGCAGCCTGTCCCGTTCCTGCAAAGGAGAGCGAGATGCTTCCAGCTTAAAGTGGGGGTTGCCTGTTTCCCCAGCAGCTTTGGGCCTGTCCAGACCAAAGTAAAGGTAAAGGGACCCCTGACCATTAGGTCCAGTCGTGGCCGACTGGGGTTGCGGCGCCCATCTCGCTTTACTGGCCGAGCGAGCCAGCGTACATCTTCCAGGTCATGTGGTCAGCATGTCTAAGCCGCTTCTGGCGAACCAGAGCAGCGCACGGAAACGATGTTTACCTTCCCGCCAGTGTGGTACCTATTTATCTACTTGCACTTCTGACGTGCTTTCGAACTGCTAGGTTGGCAGGACCTGGGACCGAGCAACGGGAACTCACCCCGTCACGGGGATTCGAACCGCCAACCTTCTGATCGGCAAGTCCTAGGCTCTGTGGTTTAACCCACAGCGCCACCCGCGTCATAAGTAGCTTCCCATTATTGTTCCACAGAAGTCCCAGATGTGGAATCCTGGCCTCCCGAAAACCCTCACCTTCTCCACCTCCTTCAGCTCTTCCAGAAGCTGCTTTAGACTCTTGCTGTGTCCCCGTGGCTCCTGCGGACTGTCTGCGTCTGTCTGGGTGCTGGCGTGTTTCATTCGCCGCCTGCCCGCTGGGCTCAACTGCACCAGGTTGGGGCTTTTGCTGTGCTCTCGTCTCGGCGGGAAGAGGAAAGCTTCCTCCTCCGAGCCTGCCGCGTGGAATAAGGGAAGTGTGGTAATAATAATAATAATAATATTTTTTTATACCCCGCCCTCCCCAGCCAAGGCCGGGCTCAGAGCGGCTTACAAGCAATAATAAAAACAAGAAGAATGATTACAACTTAAAATCAAAAATAAAATACATTAAAATAATGGAACATTAAAATATTAAAATGTAGCCTCATCGCAGAAGGAGAAGGAAAAGGAAAAAAGAAAGAGAGGGAGGGAGGGAATCAAATTGGCTCCAAGCCAAAGGCCAGGAGGAACAACTCTGTCTTACAGGCCCTGCGGAAAGAAATCAGATCCTGCAGGGCCCTGGACTCATGAGGCAGAGCGTTCCACCAGGCCGGAGCCAGAGTTGAAAAGGCCCTGGCTCTGGTTGAAGCCAATCTAACTTCCTTAGGGCCTGGGACCACTAGGGTGTTGCTATTTATGAACCTTGAGGCTCTCCGTGGGGCATACCGGGTGAGGCGGCCCCGTAGGTACGAGGGTCCTAGGCCGTGAAGGGCTTTAAAGGTCAAAACCAGCACCTTGAACCTGACCCTGTACTCCACCGGGAGCCAGTGCAGCTTGAAAAGCACTGGGTGAATATGCTCCCATGGCAGAGACCCCGTGAGGAGCCTCGCTGCAGCATTCTGTACCCGCTGGAGTTTCTGGGACAGCTTCAAGGGCAGCCCCGCGTAGAGCGAATTACAGTAGTCAAGCCTGGAGGTGACCGTCGCATGGATCACTGTGGCCAGGTCGGGGCGGGAAAGGTAAGGGACCAACTGCTTGATGCGGCGAAGGTGGAAAAATGTCGCCTTGGCTGTTGCTGTAACTTGCACCTCCATGGAAAGGAGGCGTCAAGGATTACACCCAAACTCTTAACGGAAGGCAATGGCGCTAATTGGGCCCCTGCGAGAGAATGGAGTTGGTCCCTCATCCCCATGCCATCCCGACCTAGCCATAGGACCTCTGTCTTCGAAGGATTTAGTTTCAATCGGCTCCCACGAAACCAGCCAGCCACAGCTTCCAAACATCTGGTCAGTGTGTTCGGGGCCGAGTCGGTGTGGCCATCCATCAGCAGATAGAGCTGAGTGTCATCAGCATATTGGTGACAGCCCAGCCCAAAGCTCCGGATAATCTGGGCAAGGGGGCGCATAAAGATGTTAAAAAGCATCGGGGAGAGAATTGCGCCCTGTGGCACTCCACACACCAAGGAGTGGCGCGACGACATTTCCCTCCCTAGTGCCACCCTCTGTCCCCAACCAGAGATAAAAGAGCACAACCAGTTACGGGCTATGCCCTGTATCCCCACGTCTGCGAGGCAGTGGTCCAGAAGATCATGATCGACCATGTCAAAGAAACGTGGCCATCGTATCTGGAGATTTGTTCCTGCAAGCAGTGTGGTGCAGTAGTTCTACAGTGCTGGGCTCGGACCTGGGAGACCCGACTTCAAATCCCCACGCAGCCATGAAACGCACAGGATGACCTTTGTGAGCAAAACCTGTACTTTCTCGTGCTGGTTTTGAACTGGTGCTTCAAACCACAGTTTATGGTGTCAAGTGGAATTTGCTCTGCGTTCCTGCTCTTCTATAGAAGCCACGGTTCGCAAGGCTGGGAAGCAAATA